ATGACTTCATATCAAAGGCAAACAACTTCCATCCTTCAATAAAATTCACGGCAGAAATTTCCAACTCAAACCATGTTTTCCTGGACACAACAACCAGACTGGTGGAAAACAAATTACACACAGACATCTACTCGAAACCAACCGACAAACACCAGTATCTCCTCCCAACCAGTTGTCATCCAAAACACTGCATTAAGAACATTCCATATAGCCAGGCACTGAGGATACGCAGAATTTGCTCCGACGATGAAAGATTCCTAGAAAGGTCTGAAGAGCTGGCTAAACATTTAATTTACCGAGGCTACGACAAAGACCTGATTGCGGAGGCAATCCAAAGGGCCAAACAAACAAACCGTGATGACCTACTCAGATATGGACAGAAAGAAAAGGTTGATAGGATACCATTTATTCTGACCTATCACCCAGACAATCCCAAAGTAGGTAAAATCATCGCAAACCACTGGCCAACCGTGCAATCGTCAGACATACTAAACCTAATACTTCCGAACAAACCTGTAGTAGCTTACCGGAGACCAAAAAACCTAAAGGACATCCTAGTCAGGGCAAAGGTAACGCCAATCGCTAGTCAAAACCAACCTAGTCAATCTGGACCCTGTGGCGATAAAAGATGCAAAACCTGTTAACATATGATAAAGACCAAGACATTCACTAGCACAGTGACTAAAAGAAAAACTAAACATACATGGTTCAAACAAAACGTGCAAAACAGAGAATGTGATTTATCTCATCACATGTAAGATCTGTGGCCTTCAGTACGTCGGAGAAACTGAAAGGCTACACAAAAGGATAAACCTTCATAAATCTGATTGGATGACAAAAAAGCTGTACAGAAGCCCGGTCGCAGAACACTTCTCCTCCCCTGGCCACACTTTCAGTGATATAATACTTATCGCTATTGCTAACAACCACAGCTGGAGTTCCGAAGACCACTCTAGTCATCCGTGAGTTAGAGGGACTGGTTCTATTCTGCGTGTGCGCAGGTGTCTGGTAAGGCCAATCCTTGCACGGAAAGTTCAGTTGCAGAATAGACTCTGGATAAGTGGAACATCCTCAGGAGGGTCGCTGGCACGTGCTTTCCTGACTTGCCTCTTTATCTCTGCAGCTGCTATCCTTCTCGATTCACACAGCTTGGAGCCTTTATGAAGATAGGAACGCCAAGTGACTCGATCGCTAGCTATTTGCTCCCATGAGTCAGGGTCTATGCTGAATGCTTTCAATGCAGTTTTCAAATTGTCTTTGAAGCGTTTCTTCTGACCTCCGTGGGATCTCTGTCCCTGCTATATCTTGCCATAGAAGAGTCTCTTGGGCAGCCGGTGGTCTGACATGCGTACAACATGTCTCGCCCAGCGTAACTGGGAATGCATCTGGATGGTGTGAATGCTGGAGAGGCCTGCTTTGGCTAGTACCTCGGTGTCTGGGACTTTGTCCTGCCATTTGATATTGTTTATTTTCCTGAGACTTGTGGTGTAAAAGTGGTTCAGCATCCTTGCATGGCATTGACACACTGTCCATATTTCGCATGTGTAGAGTAATGTGGGGAGTACAACTGCCCTGTGGACCTTTAGTTTGGTCATGATGCTGATGCCTATTCTATTCCATACATTCTCATACAATCTGCCAAACGTTGCACTGGTTTTGGCAATGCGGAGGTTCACCTCGTCGTCAATGGTGACACTCTGTGAAACTGTGCTGCCAATGTAGGTGAAGTGGTTCACTGCGTTGAGTTTTTGGCTGTTGACGGTGATGTTTGGCTCAGTATAGGGCTTTTCCGGGGCTGGCTGATGCAGTACTTCAATCTTCTTAGCATTTATGGTGAGACCAAAGCTTGTGCAGGAACTGGAGAACCTGTCAACACTGCATTGTAGATTTGCTTCTGAGCCAGCATTGAGGGCGCAATCATCAGCAAATAAGAACTCCCTCATGTTGTCTGTCATAACCTTGGATTTCGCTAGTAGCCTCCTGGGGTTGAACAGTTTTCCATCTGTAAGATACCTGATGCCGATTCCAACAACTCAGTCTCTGAATGCAGTAGTCAGCATGGCGGAGAAAAAAAAAAGACTGAACAATGTCGGGTGACAGAACACAACCCTGTTTGACGCCATTTGTTACTGAGAATGGTTCAGATGACTCTCCATTTTCCTGAACTCGCGCCTGCATGCCTTCATGGAATTGCTGAACCATGGATATAATTTTTTTTTGGACATCCGTACTTGGCCATTACCTTCCATAATCCTTCTCTGCTGACAGTATCAAAAGCCATTGTCAGGTCAATGTAGATGGAGAAAAGGTCAACGTTTTGCTCTTAACATTTCTCTTTCAGCTGCCTTGCAGCAAACACCATGTCAATAGTCTCACGCCCTTTCCAGAATCCACATTGGCTTTCTGGCAGAAGTCCCTGATCAAGATGTTTAGTGAGGCGATTCAGTAAGATTCTGGCGAGTATCTTTCCTGCAATTGAGAGCAAGGAAATACTTCGATGATTGTCGCAGGCCTGTCGGTTTCTTTTGCGTTTGTATAGGTGGATTATGGAAGCATCTTTGAATTTCTGCGGGATTGTCTCTAGCTGCCACATTAGCACGAACAGTTCGTGGAGCCTTTCAATCATTGCTGTACACCTTTCCTTGTCGACTTCTGCTGAGATGGCATCTGAGCCAGGAGCTTTGCCACTGGAGAGCAGATGAATCGCTTTCTGGGTCTCAAGCAAGGTTGAAGGGTCATCAAGTGATTCGTTGATGGGTAAATGAGGGAGACGGTTGATGGTTTCCTCGTTGATGGATGAAGGGCGATTCAAGACACTGTCAAAATGTTCTGCCAATCGCTCAAGAATCTTCTCTTTGTCAGTAATTAGAATGTTACCATCTGCGCTGAAAACGGGTGATGATCCAGAAGATGTAGGACCATACACTTTTTTTAGGGCATTGTAGAAGTTTTTCATGTCATGCTTGTCTGCGTAGCACTGTATCTCATCAGCTTTGTTGCTAAGCCAAGTGTCTCGCATCTTACGGAGTTTTTGCTGAACCGTTCTGTGCATGTTGATGAATGCATGTTTACTGGAGCTGGAATTGGGATTGTGTGTTTGTGTGTGTGTGTGTGTATATATATATATATATATATATATATATATATATATATATATATATATATATATATATATATATATATATATATATATATATATAAACAAAATGTAATACTAAGACTGTTTTGTCTTTGTCATTCATTGTGGAAGAAATGATATATTGATGAGTTCATATTCACGGTCAACGATCCGTGTTTTTGAATGTTATTTTTGCTCACAATACTGCGAAAATTAAGATTAGTTCATTATCACTCAAACTAGTCGTCTCACATCATATTTATGAACCAAAATATTGACCTGTTTTTAATCGGAAATGACATTCTGATGATGGCAAGCAAACATAATGAAATGAATACATTGGATATGTTTTAATGGCATATCAACACAACGGTGGTAACTGGAGTAAAAGGTCTTGTTCTTCGACATACAGCAATAACCAGTTTGATGATCAGGTTAGGATTCAAACCCGTCCCATCGAAGTTACCTGTTATGATTTCCACTGCACCATCTTGGTTCTCTTGAATTAAATCAATGGCATGTCACTGCATATTCATGTGCTTCCAAACAAGTGTAAACATGACTATAGGACTGGGATCGTGAAAGTTTTTTTGTAATCACCCTGGGACAAGGTCCTATCGGTGGGACATGACTCGTAGTATGCGTTGGATATGCACATGTGGATTGAGGGTGGGGATCCAAATAATGTTCATTTTATGACCTAATGACAAGTCTCCTACGCCATGGGGCATGACCAAGGGCCTGCTTATGTACTTTTATCTCCCTATACCTGTAAATCTATAGATGGTAATAGTGTAGGGATCTTAACAGTTTTCAAGTAAAGACCCAGTGGCGTTTTCCCTACCAGCGGAAGTTATGACCCAGAGGCAAGTCCACTACCCGAGGGGCATAACCTATGATCTGTATTGGATGCATATTTGGTTTGATCTTCTAGTGTTCTTCGAATATCTTAGATAAAGACTTTTGGATCTCACCAGAAGAAATTATGACCCAACGGTAGTATTTCTCCAACTCAAGGACAAGAAAGACTCGAAGGTATAATAACAAAACATGTAACATGTTTTACGTACGTGGTGTTTATGATGCCATGCGATAGCTTTAAGTCTGAAATATTTAAAACTTAATTAAAAAGTAGACACCACACCCATGCACCCAATGGTACGTTGAGCATTTTAAAACCACTGTTAATAAGAACGGACGACCCATCCACCCCCAACATTAAAAAAAAACAAAACAAAATGTATGCCCCAAAGGTGTAAAGTTTGTATCTTCATTGGTGTCTGAGGAGATACACTATTTCATTCGTGGAAGGGCTAACAAATGGGCAGAGACATGAACACATAATGTCTTCATGATTTTGTTGTTGTTGGGCTTAACGCCATTTTCAGCACATGACGGCCAGTATTAATAGTGGAGGAAGGAACCGAGAAATCACCGGAAAGAACCACCGACCCACGAGAAGTTACTGTCAAGCTTTCTCACATATCCATATTCGCCGAATCCTAGACTCGAACCCACGCAGACAGAGGTGAGATGGCAGTGATCCGTAACATACAGAGCTTTAGACCACTCGGCCACTCGGGCCCCAGAATAATAATGTCTTCTTGATTTTGTCTAATTGTATGTGAAAAGTACGAATATAAATATACTAGTATGTTAATTTAAAAGATCCTTCGGCAGTTTTTTAGTCCTACAATTTCTCGTTGGAATGTCCTGATTCCTCCATTGAATGACCATACTCTTAGTAATGAAGTTATTGTAGGTCGATTAAGATATATTCTCGCTTAGTTGTCCGTTATGATCTCTCAAATACATATAATGGCGTTACCACCTTCAACATTTAGAAAAAGAAACAAACTAGTTCTTTTTATACCTAATTAATTACCGATCCAGTGGTCTATGTGATAGAGCGTCTGCTTCAGATGCAGAAGGTCGCGGGTTCGAACCCCAGCCTAGGTATACCAAGGACTTATAAAAATGGTGCTAGCAGCTGCCTGGCTTGGCGCTCAGCATTAAGAGGTTAGTGTCAGGATAATGTGATTGGGTGAGACCTGATGCTACATGACAATATGCCCCAGTGCTAGGCATCACAACAAACTGCCTTACTACAGACATCATAGTGATATGACTTGAAATTTATTAAAGCTACGTTAACAACCCAAACCACACGCGTGCGCGCTTCAGTCCTAAGGATGTAATATCTTCTTGCGACTTGTTTAGCCTTACGATTTGTCAACATAAAGCATGTAAGATAGTTAGGGAGTGTGGGTGATGAACTGTGACGTCAGCTCGATGATATCCAATGGACATGTCAGTCATGTACAACAATAAAACTGTCCCATTAAATTGCGTTCAATAGCAATTTCTGTCTCAGTGAACATGTATTTTTTTATGATTTATGCACTTTTGAGTCCATGATAAACTGATTTTGTGTGCATGACTGAAATTAACAAACTGTCCCATTCTGTCAATATATTTATGGATAGAAAGACAGAGAAAGAAAGGCGTGTACTGGGAGATGGTGGTGTGTGAGGTGAATAAAGACCTGTAATCTAAACATGCACACTGACTCAACTTAATATAAATTAATATCGCTGAAAGCTATCAATATCTTCCCATATGAGAAAATTATAACATTTTCAAGAGTCTTTAAGTTTCCTGTATCGTTATGCAAATGTTTACCGGCTATTTTGAATGTTTAAAGCGGCCCTAATGACCTCCTTAAATAACATTCTATTTCAAGGTAACTAAAGTCTGAAATGTTTTGGTGGGTGGATGTGGGCGTGGGTGTGATAGCAGTGGCGTCACTAGGGTTGGTATGATCCAGTGCGGTAACTCATGGTGTCACCACCACACCATGGACCTCCTTCCTGCACAAAAATTCAAAAATTTTATAGACAGTCATTTTGGTGTCTCCCCCCCCCCGTCTAATGGCGTTACCCGGTGCGGTCAGCACCCGCCGCACATCCCTAGTGACGCCACTGATAGATAGATAGATAGATAGATAGATAGATAGATAGATAGATAGATAGATAGATAGATAGATAGATAGATAGATAGATAGATAGATAGATAGATAGATAGATAGATTAACTGGCAAAACGTTGATTGGGTACAAGTTTTGAGAAAGTGTTAGCTTGTTGGTTGTGTTTTGCGTGGAGGTTACTTAGATGTTGTTCTTGCTTTTTTTAATTAGTATTTGTATCAATAATTGTGTTACCCTCTTGAAATATAGTAGTAGTAGTAGTAGTAGTAGTAGTAGTAGTAGTAGTAGTAGTGTTGGTGGTGTTTGTGGTGGAAACATGACAGAACGGAATACATGATAAATTTTAATCTAGATTGCTCATCATTTGTAAATACGTACGTACATATGTACGTACCTACCTACCAATCTACTTACATCCGTGTTAAACGTGTGTGCATGTGTCTATTTATATTTGTCTCTGTATCAGTCAGTTTATATATCCATCTGTTGGTATCGATGTGTGTGTGTGTGTGTGTGTGTGTGTGTGTGTGTAAACTTCAATGAACAAATTGTGTTTTCATTTAAAATCTTCTAACCAAAACATCTTGCATTTACAATAGTATCTCATCTGTTTCGCAATTTTAACACAGGGCTGCAAATTTAAAGAAAATGCCCTTTTATGATTTTCACCATTGACAGTTCTTGTTATGAAAAGTGATATGTGTACATATCTTAGGAGAACCTGTTTTTTCTGTAATTTGATATCCGAATGATGGGGGTTCATTTAGAATATCGCACGGACGATTACTACGTCCGCAGCACGGCAATTTTTTGTGTCTTACTCAACTTCTGAGATAAAATATAAAACGAGCCAATAACTTCATCTAGTTATTCGATATTTGAAAATTTTTAGGAGCTTCTTCAAGAAAATGTAATGGCTACAACGGGAATTTTCTTTTCTATGTTTCAAAGAAAGGCAAAGTTAGTGTACTTTTTATATTTCAAGTACATTTCCCCAGCACAGAAGCTTTTGTCTTCATCACATTCTGTTTCAGACAGTACGCACTTTAGTTTACAGTAATCGAAACTAAATGTTAACCTAAGTGAAGGACGTTTAAATGCATGCTACGTCTGTCTGATATATATATATATATATATATATATATATATATATATATATATATATATCTATATATATATATATATATATATATATATATATATATATATATATATATATATATATATATATATATATATATATACACTGTCAAAATTGATTTAAAAAATGACCGTGATTTGCTCCTCACCTTCAACGGTGCTACAAAAAGATTGCAGACCGAAAATTATACAATTAGGAAAATTTAATATTTTCAAAACATTTCAATCTCCTTTTGCTGATTCCATGATCTCGTGTCTTTGAGCTCTACATCTCAACATTCCGTTCTTTGATGTTTTAAATTACAATATGTCGCGTTTTTAAAGTTTTGTTTACATTTTATTCATTTTAGCGGTTTAGACATCCGCGGGTTTCCCATCTGCGATACTCGTATAATACTCTTAGGATGCTTTTCAAGTGAATAAGATCTTCACGCATTTAGTAGTCTCGCACATTTCGCAACAGTTTTTGTTAAAGAAAATCATCGCACTCTTTTTATTTTAATAACGACGCATGTAATTCTTTACAAGTTAAAATGGTTAAAAAGTATGTAAATGCTTTTCGTTTCAAACGTGTGTGTGCGTTTGTGCGTGTGTGTGCGTGTGTGTAATATCCTTCTATGTTTAGGAAAATATATAGATCTGCAAATATGCATTAATTAATAACGTAATGACTTGGACTTAAGCCGTATATACCCGGTCATGATTACCACACCAATACATCAAGATGCTTAAGCATTTTCACGAATTAATGAATATACCGCCTTGACCAGTGTAGTGTCAGGTTCTTATAACAGCAAAACGTAAACAAACAATCGTGACAAACGTACACGCTCCCACGTCATTATAGAGCTAGCAGGTAAAAAAAATAGTATGGAAAAGTGACGGAGAAAATAGTCAATTTCTAGATTGAATTAATCCTACTTCACTATTCTGTACTAGGTTGCATTCAACACCACTCAGACAAGATCTGTTAAGTCACGTTCCTTTTAGAAAAGAGGAGTTTAATAAAATAAAATACGTACGTTGTTATTAAACAGTCGCTGATAATAACTCACAGTCATTTGTTTTGCGTTAAGAAGATCAGACAGCTCGTACGGGCGGTATTATTTGCACTAAATGTTACCCAACCTATGAGCAAGTGTATAGCAGGTAGTGATTGGTCGAGAAGAAACTGTGACGTTACTCGTCCCACACGACTAGAGGGCTTTCCCAAGATTTACTCTATGGATCCTATAGCGATGCGAGCAGACGTGTTTTAGCCGGCTTGGAATTTTCAACTGATTCTTGGTGAAATCGTCGCAATGAAACTATTCCGGTTACGTTTTATTCTGCTAGGGCTTTTACTATGCGTGTTTCATGTATGGTGTAGGACTTGTGGAACAGAATTTGCTGACCCAGGGTCCAGTGCATACCTAGCTAAAGTTGTGATACTTGGTGTAGTGTCCCAAAAGTTGCCCCCATCGGGGAACAGGTATAATGTCACAGTTCAATTTGATGGAAAGGGTATTAAAAAGGGTAAAGAACTATTAAAGAAGGGTACGAGAACCACTTCCTTAACAATCGGGGAATTCGGACCGAAGGATTTAGAAGATTGTGTGGATGAAATAAATAGGGATGGAAAGTATTACTTCTTTCTTAATGTAAGTAGTGATTCTTCGTTCTTCCGTGTGTCTGCGTTACCAGTCGGTGGCGATATCCCCAAGAAAATCAGGAGAGAGATAGAAAAATTATCACAGTGCAAGATGGACGACACAAAATGTGGTAAGTATAACAATAACAACTGTATCAAACTGTATTTGGCTTCGTATAAGGTATGTTACACCTGTACAATCACACCTGGTTGCGTCAAGTATATTAAGTGATACCACAACTAGAGTCCTGTAGTCGAGTGCATCATGTGCCAACTATTTCACCACACCATATTGAGATTAAAAGGTGTTTACACAGCGGGTGGTGCGGGACATTTTATATTTTAATAATTAGGAAATCAAAATCACTAGATTAGAGAGAGAGAGAGAGAGAGAGAGAGAGAGAGAGAGAGAGAGAGAGAGAGAGAGAGAGAGAGAGAGAGAGAGAGAGAGCATGTCATAGTTTTGAATAACCAGCATATTTCTTTTCTTATTTTACGGAGGAGTCAATGATTTACGAATGGAATGTACGCAGATCATCGATTACATCTACCTTCGTTCAGTACTAGATCCAAAGCCTATGGCTATTTCTGATTCACGAGCTTTTTATTGATACCTTTAAATATCGATCGAACTTGGCCGTTTTTTGCTAATTACATAAACATCTATTCTTCCCACGGTATCTAAAATGGACTTAGATTGACTAGACACATGTCTTATCAACATCCAAAGTTTACGTTCTCAACTTTTGCCTATTTAGAAAGGGTCAACACCTTCTGATTTAAATCGTGTTTCCGTTTTTTTTTTTTTTTTTCACGGCTTCGAAGGACATGCAATCTATTGAATAGTTCGGGTAGACTTAAACCTCAGGAGACAGGAACGAGCACCAGGACGCCGGTAGTAAAGGGTTATCTACTTTGTGATCTAAATCTAAAGTCAGGCACCCCATAATGTTCCATTTACCGTTAGTTTAGTGGGTAAGTAATCAAAAAAATAAATCTTTTCGGTTGAGCAGGTGGTTAAACAGTCGCGTCACTGAAGTACTCGAGTTTTGTTTTGGGTTTCTTTTTTTAAAACAAACTTTGAGTAGACACGGTCGGAAACGGCACCGTGCTTTGGAGAAAGACGTCCACTTTGGTTTCACTTTGTGTCTGAAATGACACATTTCTGCTGGGTATACCATCTACTCGTTTGCTTTTGTTTTCT